CAATAGAACTTTTTAAAAATGATTTAAGTTTATTCGGTAATAATGATATTTTCTACCAACGTTGTGCATGTCATATAATTAACTTAATAGTAAAATCCGGTTTAAAATCAATGTCAGGTCATATTAAAAGAATTAGAGATAACATTGCTTGGATTCAAGGTAGTAATCAAAGAATACAAGATTGGTTTAGATTTCTACAAGCATGTAATCAAAATCCTAGAGCATTAACCTTAGATATGCACATAAGATGAAACTCCACTTATATAATGCTTGAACAATGCATCCCCTATAAAGATGCGATAACAAATTATGTTAGTGCAAAATTAAGACTAGTATTTATAAATGAAACTGATTGGCAAGTTGCCGAACTATTGTATAACTTTTTAGGTAGATTTCACGAAGTTACCTTAAAGCTTAGTGGAACTTATTACCCAACGTCACCATTAGCGTTAGGAGAACTTTTAAGAATGTCTATTTTATTTAGTGAATTTAGGACACACGAGGTTTTAGGAGTTCTTACCGCCTCTATGGAAAAGAAGTTTAAGAAATATTGGTCTAAATTACCCATGTTGTATGGTTTCGGTGTTATTTTCGACCCTAGATTAAAATTAGAAGGTTTAGAAAGTGGATTAGATAACTCAGGTGAATTTTTAGCTATCGACACTACTGACCAATTTCCTATTATAAAGGAAAAAATATTTTCTCTCTATATCTCTTACGAAAGTAGGTTTAGAAACACCCCTCGTGTTGAACAACCGCAACAACGAGACGACAATCCGCATTCATTCTTAAATGTTTTCGATCTGTCTAATAAGAAGAAGAAGACGACGACTCAAGGTCAAAAAGAATTTGGGAGTGGATCTTCGTCAAGAGGTGGCGGCAATAGCGGCGGATTCAACGAGTTAATGGCGTACCTGAGTGAGGGCTTAGTTGTAGACAGTAGTGAAATGTTTGATTTGGTTCAGTGGTGGAGGGTACGAGCATTAACTTGGCCGATCCTAACATGACTGGCAATAGATATTTTTTCAATCCCGGTCTCCACTGTTGCAGTCGAACAAGCATTCAGTACAACCGGCCGAATACTTGAAGAACAAATAAACGCATTGCAACATAATATTGTTGAAGCTTTGGTGTGCATCAAGGATTGTGATCGTTCTGACTAACGCTTACACGATATAATCTCACCGGCAAGCCAATAATGGATCAACGAATTTAATAGATTAACTTTTAATTTTCAAGACGATCCTTCTGCTTCAAATTAAATTTTATTATTATAATTTGTAAATATTTATTTACTTTGTAATTTCTAATTTGTATAGTGTTATTGTAATCTTGTATATACTTTGTAAGTTCGTCAAATTTGTAATTCGTCCCACAATGATTGCACTCTTTTTTCCTTACTAAGTTTTTATCCCAATTGGATTTTTCTTGGTAAGGTTTTTAACGAGACAATCATGAATTACAAATTTAAAAATCAATGAAGAAATAAATTTTTTTATATAGTTCGTGTGTTCATTTCAAATTTCAAATTGTAATATATATATATATATATACACACATTATAATTATACAAATATAATATAAAAATATAATATAAAAAAAATTTAAAAATTTGGGCAACCCTGTCCGAAGCCCGTCCAAAGTAAAATTCAGGTCAGGTCGGACAACCTGAATTTTAGGACAATTCGGGTTCGATAATCGGGCAAAAAATTTAAATTTTTCGGTGCAGCTCGTGGAAAGTTTTAGCACTAATCTATAAACACCAATTATTCTGCGCATATTCTACTCCCCTATAATTTATGTGTCGTCCTCGACCCCAATTTTCACCAACTCCTCTTGACTTTACAAGTTAATGACCTCCCCCACAGTAGCTCAAGAAGCTCCCACTTCCCCAAATCCCGAACACCTCCACCCACCAAAACCTCCTTTTTTCTTCCTTTATTGAAATTCCCTTTCTCTTCATCAAAAAGTTCTCTATTGTGGGTCTTCTTCAATCATTCTGCTATACACTGCTTCAAAGCATGTTGTATTTGTCTCTCTAGGCTTCTGGTAAACAATCTTTTTGGTTTTTTTTTTTCTTCAAATTTCAAAACCTTGGTGTTATTTTTATTTTTTTCCTTTCAATTTCCCCCACTTGGGTATTCATCCATGTTGGTTCTGAAATTAGTTTTCTTTACCGTTTTCACCAACTGGGTTTTTCTTGAAATCTTCCACTGTTGTGACTGAACTCGTTTCTGTACACTTAAAAGTGTCAAAGTTTTTTTTGTTTTCTTCAAAGTTATGATTCCAAATACCTTGTTGAACGTATAAAACTTATGACCTTAAAGTTCGATACTTTGGTTTAGTATTGTTATAATGACGGTAATGTTGAGAACTTGATGGCTTTATTGGACATGATTGATTTATAGTCGTCCACTCCATGTCAATCGCCTGCGGGGTTCCCATTCTTGAGTGTGTATATTGCCTGGGCTGTGCTCGTTGGTTGTGGCTAAAATGCCTCTACACTGCTGGCTACGAGAGTGAGAACTGGGGACTAGCCACTACCGAAGAATTCGAGCCCGTCCCCCGCCTCTGCCACTTAGTTCTAGCCGTCTACGAAGATGATCTCCGGAACCCGATTTGGGCTCCCCCTGGTGGTTATAGGATTGACCCTGACTGTGTAATCCTAAGAAAAGACTATGAGGAAACCGAGGGCCGGGTTCCTCCTTATATGGTCTACCTTGATCATGACAATGCTGATATAGTCCTGGCAATTAGGGGACTAAATCTAGCAAAGGAATGTGATTATGCAGTTTTGCTAGATAACAAGCTGGGGCAGACGAAATTCGACGGTGGATATGTTCACAATGGGCTGATGAAGGCGGCAGGGTGCGTTTTTGACGCTGAGTGCGAGGGTTTGAGGGAATTGGTAGAGAGAAACCCGACATACACGTTAACATTTACGGGGCATTCCCTTGGAGCAGGGGTGGTGGCTTTGTTGACAATGGTGGCACTTCATAACCGCGAAAAGCTAGGAACGATTGAGAGGAAAAGGATTAGATGCTATGCCATAGCTCCTGCTAGGTGCGTGTCTTTGAATCTGGCGGTGAGATATGCCGATGTTATTAACTCGGTAGTACTCCAGGTGAGATCATCAGAATTCATGGTGAAATTGTATGCTCCACAGTCTGTATTTTGGTTGGCATTTAGTGTTTATTTAAATTGAAATAAAAGTTTAGTTCTCAGGAGGAGTGATATGAGTTGTGCAAACTTAGTCACTGCATATGCTAGATATTGAACTTCTATAGTACACCCTTAGATAAGTACCAGTTTGTATTGCTTTTGTCAGCCTCAAAATCCTTTGCACATAATATGATACAAGTAAGTATGTTTGGTCAAAATGTCCAAAAGTAATTTGCACAATCACTGATGGACTCTTACAATTGTTTGAAGAAGAGGATTTTTAATTTTTGCTTCATGTTTCCACTTCTTTTGCTATAAGCAAAAGTAGAATCTCTTTCAAAAGCACATTGATCCCAAATTAAGCAGTAAGAATTTGACGCATTTGCTCATAGAGATATACTCAACTATTTATCTTGGTTTTCAGTTGGATTTAACAAGTATAAAGGGCCTATCATAGGACGATATTGGGGGATGCACTATTGTTTTTAGGGAAGATACGCAACATGAAGAACTCGCGTTAATTTTCTTCAAACAAGAAACTGCTTATCTGGCTACAGCTATCAAGGGCTGTTTTCAATACCAAGATATATCTGGAAACCATATTCACCTCTAAAGAAACTCTCTTTAACATCTGAAACGTGATCTTGTAGCATACATCGGACAAGAGCCGAATAAAATCTGGCAATCAAGTTGATTTTCAATTATGTGAATGTTGAATTGTTGATTTTCAAAGGAATAAATTGCTGCCTTCTGTAATCTTACTTGATCAATGAAGTTTCCTGTTTCTTAAATAAATAAATAAATAAAAAACCAGTGCTGACTTCTAATCGTCGCTAATACCTGCATTTAATGGGCCAGGATGATTTCTTACCCAGGACAACAACTGCATTGGAAGACGTATTCAGATCACTTATCTGGTAAAACCTAGTATGTCTGAGTCACCTCTCACCTTTCCTGCATCTGATAATAGCTAAAATATGTCAATTCAAGTTGTGCCTGATGCATCTGCTGCTAGAACTGTAGACAGATAAGATAAGTAAGACCTAATTCAAGATCTGGATACAGAATCTCTATTGTGCCACATGAATGATAGAGCTAAAACTTGTTATTATCGACCTCTATAGGGTGAGACCATAGTTTTTAAGCCTGTAAATCTCTATCGTGCCACATGAATGATAGAGATAAAACTTGTTATTATCGACCTCTATGAGGATGAGACCATAGTTTTTAAGCGTGTAGAAGTTGCACGTGATAGATTTATTTTGATCTCTATGGAGAGAGGATAAGATCATGAATTTTTGGGTAGTTGTAACTTCATAATCCTCTGGTTTGCTTCCATTTTTTCTTGATCACATTTGACAATTGACATTTAGTACTAGAATTAAGATTTTAATGCGATTCGTATAGTGTTTTTTGTGTTATACTAATTGAACTTGTTTTCTTTCATTTGAACAGTTTACCATGTTTACTTTGCCTAACGTGCTTGAAGGATACATGCACGCTGGAGGAAAGGATGCTTAAAGATCCAAGAAGGCTATATGCACCTGGTCGTCTCTATCATATTGTAGAACGAAAGCCCTTCAGGTAAATATTTGTTTCTTGATATTGTATGATTAGGGTTTTACTCAACTAGTTTGTTTTTGTATTTGTTTTTCCCTTTTTAATCTCTTTTTGGGCATCTTGGTATTTATATGCCCGTTTCCAAGATAAATAAATTTGGATTAGGAAAAGGCTTGGCGAGCCTTCTTACTTTAAGTGAGAATATGAGTGGCAATGCAATTGAATTACAAGTCTGGTGGTCCAACTCAATGATATTCTTCATAGGGTGTGTGGCCTCTGTATGATATTGTCATGTCCCGGGAAACAAGGTGGCTTGCATGTTTCCCAGATGATGGGACTTGTCTAAGAAAAAAATGTAGTGCTCTAGAGAGAGAGCACTGACCTCATTGAGAGTGCATTTCTTAGATGTTTTATGACCCACGTTCACCTTCATTACGCTTCATGTGTTGAATCTACTGGTGCTCTGCAGTTGTCAAGCGCCAAGGGCGGAAAAACATGTCAGGTGCAGGGTAGAACAGTGGGACTCGGATGAACCTATGGTGTAATATTGGAGTCTCCTTTTGTTAACTTACACCGGTAACTGACCTGGCATGTCCTCACTTTTGTGTTAGGCTGAGTTACATAATGGAAACACATGGGGAAAACTTGGTCCCCTTCTATAAAACCAAGGAACAATGTTCTCACAAAAAAGGACAACAAACATGGCCTTGGTTTTTTTTTTTAAAAATTTTAATATTGCAATGGGGGCTGAATTAGAAAAATTAATTTATTTGCTACGAAAATTACCCTGAAATTTTTAAGATTGACCTGATAAATAATTTACTCAGTGGCATTTTGTTTAAAATCAGCCAAAACCTGCCCAATTTGAAGTAGGTGGCCAAATGCGGCCACTAGTACAATTTCCACATGGAGTAAAATAATGAAATGTTAAATTTATCAAGGAGAAAATGATAGAGAATTGTCATCGGTGGTTGTTTTGTTATTATTTCACTGGTTGAGTCGAATATGTTGCGTGAGTGGTAGTGGAAGTCAAAGAGATTTAACTATGGGCAATGATCAGACGCTCGGTTCTTGCAGGATAGGAAGATTTCCTCCAGTAGTAAGGACTGCAGTGCCAGTTGATGGGCGGTTCGAGCACATTGTTCTTTCTTGCAATGCAACTTCTGACCATGCAATCCTTTGGATAGAGAAAGAATCCCAACGTGCTCTTGATGTAAGTTGTTAGATCCTCCTTGAAGTATGAGGATTGTTAGTCACTAAACCACAACAATTTTCATGACTTGTTTCTCAACTTTTCTGTTAGTATTCAGTTATTTGTAACTTATCATTTCAGTTAATGCTGGAAAAAGATCAAATCATGGAAATTCCGCCGAAGCAGAGGATGGAGCGCCAAGAGTCTCTCGTTCGGGAACATGGCGAAGAGTACAGGGCAGCCCTTCAGAGGGCGGTAGCTTTGGATATTCCTCATGCCACCATATCTTCGCCTTATGGGACATTTCCTGAAATGGAAGAAGGGGAGAATTCCGGCAGGTCAAGCGAGGAGACTTCATTGTTGTCGTTCAAGAAATGGAGGGAAAGTTGGGATAACTTCATAGAACGTCTGTTTGATGTGGATGAGTCTGGTCACATGGTGTTCAAGAGGACATAACCACCTTGTAACATAGCCAACAAAAAATATTCTTTGATTCAATGGGAAATATTCTCTGCATTTATGTTTAAGCTTCATCCAGAAATCAGAGAATTCCCACATGAAGCTAACAGAGGTTCGCTTCTGTTTAATCGTACAAAATTGTTAATGTTTATTAGGTCGCCATAGAAATTATAGTTAAAGTTTTGATGTAAATTAATTAACTTTCTGCCATTTATGGGCATTTCAATGGTTTGGACTTTGGAGGAGTACCGACAAAGGATTCTTGATAAGCTGCTATGACTTCTGTTAGGTTCCTGTGTAGTTTTTAGATTATAACAGCAAGTATCGAGGCAAACTTGGAAATGAGTCCAACTTCTTTTATTAATTTTACTCTCAACTCTCTCTCTGGAGAGGAGTTTTCTTACATCAAACGAGTGATGGAAAATAAAACAGAAAGCAGAAATAAACAATGGAGAATTCGAGGTTCTCCTTCCTCCCACGGTTTGTCCAGAAATTTCCCAAGTCACAGACACCAATTCCCAGACCACTACACCTAAATACTTCCCAGCTCACCCTCCTGTAACCAACTTGCCACCTCCACCCCGTAACCAACTTGCCACCTCAGCACCCTTTTCTCATATTTCCACTTCCCTCCCCCAAACCCAACGTATTCCCCTTTTGGCCCTTTTTCCTAGAGTAGACCAACTTGATAGCCCCCCTTTGAAAACAACCTTGTCCCCAAGGTTGAAGGAAGGGAACTGCAAGCGGACAGTAGCCACAGGCTCCCATGTGGACTCCTAATCTGGTAGGCCGTGCCATTTGATGAGCACCTCCGGTTCCTCACAACCACCCACAACCACCACTCGGGACGCTAGTACTTCTGCTGGTTAGACACACAACTCTAAGTCATCGGAGAGCTGCGTTGGAAGAGGCTGGACCTGGGAAGCGTGACCTTTGAAGGGCTTCAACTGGGAAACGTGGAAAACAGGGTGGAGGCGAGCATCTACTGGCAACCGCAAACGATACGCCACCGGTCCAATCCTGTCCAAAATCTCAAACGGCCCATAGAAGTGCGGGACAAGCTTCTTATTTACGCGACGAGCAAGCGACTTGAGCCTATAAGGCCGAAGTTTAAGCAAAAGCAATTCACCTACCTCAAAATTGAATTCCCGTCGGTGAGTGTCGGTGAATTTCTTCATACATTCCTGAGCTAACAGCAGATGGGATTTTAGGAGGTCCAACATCTCATTCCGCAGTGCTAGCTGGGCTTCCACTGCCGCCACAGTGCCGGGAGAGTCAGAGAAACGAAGCAGAGTAGAGGGATCGCGGCCATAAACAATGCGAAAGGGAGTGAACTTAGTGGACGCATTAAAGGTAGTGTTGAACCAATATTCAGCCCATGGAATGAACGCAGACCACTGTCGAGGCTTATCTCCTGCAAAGCACCGTAAGTATGTCTCTAAGCATCGATTAACGATCTCGGTTTGGCCATCGGACTCTGGGTGGTAAGCCGAAGTGGCACATAGCTTGGTTCCCTGCAATTTGAACAACTCGCGCCAAAACCCGCTCATAAAAACTGCATCCCTATCCCTCACAATGGACTGCGGAATGCCATGGAGCTTGACGATAGAAGAGATGAATAGGACAGCCACATGCTTAGTCGAGAAGGGGTGAGCCAAAGGGCAGAAGTGAGCATATTTCGACAAGCGGTCAACCATCACTAAGATTGTGTCGAATCCATTAGACTTGGGAAGGCCCCCGATGAAGTCCATAGATACGTCTTCCCAAACTTGATTTGGAATCGGCAAGGGTTGTAGAAGGCCGGTAGGAGACAAGGCATCCGTTTTGTTCCTTTGGCAAGTTCGCAGGTAGCCACATATTCCCTAATCTGACGTTTCATTCCCCGCCAAAAAACCAGCGCGGACAGCCGCTTGTATGTGCACAGGAAGCCCGAATGTCCGCCGATTACCGAATCATGAAACTCATGGAATAACTGAGGTATCCACGAAGATTACTCTACCAATACCAACCTGTCCTTGTAAAACAGTAAATCATTCTTCAACGAATAAGCTTCAAGAACCTCCCCTGCTTCGAGCTTGGCAATAACAGAAGCCCATTCCGGTTCCGCACGTTGCTCCAATCGAATTGCGGTGAAATCCCACGTGTGTGGTATAGAGAAGGCGGCGAAGGAAACATCACCCCAGTCACCGCGACGGGAGAGCGCGTCCGCAACCCGGTTGGCAGCCCCCAACTTGTACTGCATTTCAAAATCATAACCAAGTAGCTTGGATATCCACCGTAGCTGCTCCGGGGGAAGTTGGCGTTGGCCCATCAGAAAACGCAAACTCTGTTGGTCGGTGCGAAGCACAAAGTGGCGTCCCAGTAAATAATGCTACCATTTCTGGACTGCGAGCACAAGACCCATGAGCTCTCGCTCATAAACAAACTTCAACCGGGAAGTTAAGGAGAGGGCCTTGCTAAAGAAGGCGATAGGCTTGCCCTCTTGTATCAAGACCGTGCCCAAACCAACCCCCGAGGCATCCGATTCTATCACAAATGTTTTCAAAAAATCCGGCATAGCCAACACCGGTAGATGGGTCATTGCTATCTTAAGGTCTTCAAAGGCGCGGGCCGTTTCGTCGGTCCAAACAAACCCCTTATTTTTAAGCAACTCCGTTAAAGGCCTCACGAGGACTCCATAACCCTTAACGAAGCGATGATAGTACTCGGTGAGCCCCAAAAATCCGCGCACCTCCCGAACATTCATGAACGATGGCCAAGACGAGATGGCCTGTATCTTAGAAGGGTTAGCGGCCACTCCTTGCCCTGAAATGAGGTGGCCAAGATACTCTGACTGTTGCTGGCCAAAACATCACTTTTCCTTGTTAGCAAATAGCTTTTCCTGCCACAAAACTCCCAAGACAGTGGCTAAGTGATGGCGATGCTCCTCCTAAGAGGCTGTACACCAGAATATCATCAAAGAATACAAGGACGAATTTCCGTAGGTAAGGACGAAAAATCCGGTTCATGAGGGCCTGGAAGGTGGCCGACACATTGGTTAGTCCGAAGGGTATGACGAGGAATTCGTAATGGCCATCATGTGTACGAAAAACTGTCTTCTCCACATCAACCTCGTGCACCCTGATTTGGTGATATCCTGCTCGTAAATCCAGTTTCGAGAACACTACTGCCCCATGAAGTTAATCCAACAGCTCATCAATCAAGGGTATTGGAAACTTATCGGGAATGGTTACTTGGTTCAAGGCGCGATAGTCCACGCAAAAGCATCAACTTCCGTCCTTCTTCTTAACCAGGAGTATCGGGCTCGAGTAAAGGCTGCTGCTCGGCCGAATGATCCCGGCAGCCATCATGTCCGACACCAAGCGCTCTATCTCCCTCTTCTGGACCTGTGGATAACGATACGGTCGCACATTTGGGGGGTCAGCTCCCTCCCACAATATAATCCGGTGTCCCGTCCCCGGCGCGGTGGCAGCCCCGTAGGATTATCAAACACCCCCTCAAACTCCATAAGAACCTCCCGAACCTCCTCCGGAATTGTTTTTTTCTTGTCCGTTCCCTGCAATTCCAGTTCATATACTTCCGCCAACAAACCTGCCCTGTTCGGGGGAAGAGTTCTAATCAAAGAACTCATCTTCACAGAGGCATAACATAAACTGGGGTCCCTTCGCCAAATCACCCACGTCGGTCCTGCCCTAAACTTTATTAAAAACATAGACCAGTCTGCCCTCACCTTGCCGAGGGTACTCAGCCAAGTCACTCCCAGGACCAGGTCGGCTCCCCCAAAGTCAAAAGAAAAGAAATCCTCCTCTACCCGATGCCCCTGAATCCACACTTGCACTCCTCTACAGATGTCAGTTTGTTTAAAACTCAAGCCGTTCCCCACTAAGATATTGTGACTTACTGAATAATCGTTCGGCAGTTGCAGTTTTGCCACCACTGTGGCCGAAATGAAGCTGTGCGTGGCACCGCTATCCACCAGCACCACAACCTCACGACCCCCAAGTTGTCTCCAGAGCTTCATCGTGTTGGAAGAAGACACCCCACGAATTGAGTTGAGAGATAAGTCCACCCTCTCGGCAGCCTCCTCTTTGCCTTTTTCCTTGTTGGTGGAGTGATCCTGGACCGCCCCGCCATCTCCATCCGAGGACTCCTCTTCCTCTGCCAGGATCAGCACCTGTAGCTGACGATTTTTACAGCGGTGACCCAGGCTGAACTTCTCATCACACTTAAAGCAAAGGCCCCAGGCTCACCGGTACTGCATCTCTTCCTCCGTTAACCGTCAGAACGCCGATGACTCCCCCATAGCTGGGTTTGTTCCTAACCCTGTTCCCAGCCGTGACCCGTGTCTACCCGCCGTGGCCTCTATTTTGGATCGAAGGTTACTCTCTGGCGTGGGAGAAGAAAAAATCTGGCCCTCATGAGACCCCCTTGGCTGACTCCACGCATCAGCCCTAGGCCCACGGCCCATCCGGTATCTCCTGACCCGATCCGCCGCTTCATTGCGGGCTTCCACCTGCTACGTCAGGTCCATCATGTTGTATAGACTATTGGGCTGATGCATTTTCAACTCGGCCCTGATGTATTCTCTGAGCCCGTGAAGGAAGGATCCTCTGAAAATTGCATCGGTAACCCCCCTCATTTGGACGGCCGTTGCTTCAAACTCCTCCTAGAAGTCCGCCACTGTGCCTTTCTGTCGGAGAGCCATGAGCAGCTCCACCGGGTCCACCTCCCCCATTTGCCCAAACCGTCGCAACACCACCGCCCTCAAGTCCCTCCACGACCTGAACGGATCTTGAGCATCCGCCCACTGGACCCAGCCTAGAGCCCGCCCCTCCATGCAAACCGATGCTACCACCACCCTCTCATCCTCCTCCACCTCATTGACGGAGAAATACCGGTAAGCCAGAAATACCCACCCCTGTGGGTCCGCCCCAGTAAACAGAGGCATCTCCAACCTTCTTCCCCGATGCTCCACCCGACCTCGAGGAAGCGGTGGTGACTCTGGATGTAGATCACGCCCATACCGCCTGGGTTCGTCGTCTTGTAGTGGTGGTGGTGGAGACACTGGTCGAAGATGGGGGCCCAGTCGTCGTGGGTCATGAAATCGTGCTGGGCCCACCTCGAATCGCAGTAGTGGTGGCGGTGGGTTTCGCTGTAGTAGATCTGCCTGTCGGAGGAAAAGATTCTCCAACAGCCGTATCGTTCCCTGCACTTCTCCCAGTTGCGTTCCGATCTCGATCACGTCATCTTGGAGCTTGGGAAGAGGTTTTGTCAACCTCTCTACAAGCTAAAGCACCTCAAAGTACGTGTCCTGTCTCCGTTCTAGGCACGTCATCCCCTCCTCCGGAGCCCGTTCGCCGGCAGCGTCCGCCACGGATCGTTAGGCTCTGATACCAAATTGTTAGGTTCCTACTTAGTTTTTAGATTATAACAGCAAGTATTGAGGGAAACTTGGAAATGAGTCCAACTTCTTTTATTAATTTCACTTTCAACTCTCTCTCTCTAGAGAGGAGTTTTCTTACATCAAACGAGCGATGGAAAATAAAACAGAAAGCAGAAATGAACAAAGGAGAATTTGAGATTCTCCTTCCTCCCACGGTTTGTCCAGAAATTTCTCAATTCACAGACACCAATTCTCAGGCCACTACACCGCCTAAATACTTCCCAGCTCACCCTCCCGTAACCAACTTGCCACCTCCAGCCCGTAACCAACTTGCCACCTCAATACCTCTTTCTCATATTTCCACTTCCCTCCCCCAGACCCAACGTATTCCCCTTTTGACCCCTTTTCCTAGAGTAGACCAACCTGATAGGTGGCCTAACAACTTCTTATAATTTAAATTTTTCATTCTTGAAAACGCATTTTTATGGTAGTTTACCTCTAAATTATTCTCAGCAAAATTCCCTGGAATTTAACACATTGATAAATAGAGTTAATTACTCTTTCGTTTATTCAGGGTAAAATTAATAAGAAAATAGTTTTAGAATGAAAATACCAAAATAAGGGGGTGGAAAAAAGGCCAATGCAAATGCTAAAAACCTGTTTCTTTCCATTTACATTTCAATATATAACTACTACCACAATCTTACAAACACAACCATGCAAGCGAGGAATGATAATATTGCTTGCTCTCCTTAATCTTCCTGACGGCCGTGCGATCATACCGAATAGCAGACGGCGAGTCGGAGAGGGAATGCTGATTGCAGAGGGTGATCAAGATCTGAGTGTCCTTGTCAAGTAGTTTGATGGGGTGGAGGAGAAACATACAGGCTATCCTGATGCCGCAGCCGAGAGAACGCAAGCATGAAGAACACCGACAAAGACGGCATTGCTAGACATAAAACCATGGTTTTCGCGACTAGTTTTATACCACAAATGCCTCGTTTCATATGGTCTATTATGCATATTAGATGAATAGCTGTCAACCTCGGATGATCACCCATAACGACTTTACAAAGAAAATAATTACAATAATAAAGGGACATATTCTTTCTTTCTTTTTTTGGTCTGATTCTTTCTTTCTTCCATTTTTTTTAATGGACATGTCCTTCTACAGTTAGCAACGGTAAACTCGTAAACTATGTACACTTCCCCCGCAACGTCTCAAATCTTTTTAAACTTGGTTTGATGCAACCACTTAAATTTAATACATGATGCAACCACTTAAATTTAATACATTTGTTTCAAAACTTCGTAAACATTGATTTAAAAAATAATTACAAGTTTTGTTAGATTGGTGGACAATTTTAAAAAATACCTTTTAAAATAATTTTTTTTTTTATTTCTACTCCTTAATATTAACTCATATATTTCTACCTTTTAGACTATAACTAATTAAGAGTAGAGTTTTTTTTTTTTTTTTTTAAAGAGTACTAATGGTTATCCAATTAAATTAGATAATTTGTACGCCGCTAATCTGGGGGTCATTTCCAGATTTCTTATTCCAATTAATTTCTATTTATTTTTCGAAATATGTCATCAAAGATTCAAAGTTAACTGGTGGCATAAGCTTTTCTTGACCTCATAACCTCGGATCGAACAACTGCGTTTGCGAATGGGTAACATTTTTTTTTTCCTTTTTTGGTGTCATTTTCTGCCGCTGAAATTGACTAATGATTCCATATATGCTGGCATGCTATCTAAAGAAGGGAGTTAATGCAATCTACAGATTGATCAGACATATTGATTATGCTTTGTTTTTTCAATCTACGGCCTAAAAACGCATAAATAACAAAGCATTATTACCCATCTGCAATAGATAATACCTACAAGTTTTTGGGGGATAAACAAATCAACAATAATACAATATCAGCACCAAGTTGGTCGTTAAACTTGGACTACATCCCCTGCAGAGCAAAAGAAAACAATAGAAATGAGATAGTATGATTATATAACACCAAGGGAACTGAAAAAGATCTACTTTCCTTTCATATGATGATATTTTTGCTTTCAGTGAAAAACATTGGCGATGGGGCGGCTTACCGTGCATCCTCTTAACAAATTGTTCGAATTCCATGAAGTTGTGTCTTTCCATGAGATGTGGATTGAGCCTAAGGTAGGTAAAAGATGAAAAATGCCTTCCGTCTGGATCGGTTGGTGGCTTAGCATCATCCAAAATCTTGTTATAGCCTGCTCGATCATGACAAGGCAGAGCATTCTCGTTCACGACCGATACGCAGACATCCCAGGCTGCGTTGAGCACCTGTAATATACGACGTTCATCGTCACAATCCGATCCAACTACTCGACATTGAATCTCTAGTAATCTGTTGTGTGGTGATTTTCTATGTTGGAAAAGCAAAAACACGTTCTTTAAAAGTTCATGTTAGGGCACTAGGGCTTCCAGCTCCTGGGGTATGGGTGCCTTAGATCCTATAGATATTCCTAAAAGATGAAGGTTACTGATTGAAAATCACGAAAAGCTGACCAGGAGGTTCCAAATGCTTGAAGCTTACTTGCCAAACTAACCCCTCAGGATCTGCTAGTGCTTCCTGGAAGTCCTCGTGATGGTTTAACATGTGCAATTCGGCACATGTGAAGTTCAAGGCAGCTCCATGCTTCTTTAGAATTGACAAAATTGCAGCGTAACCATCGCGGTTGCATGGATTATAGAAACCAGCAGTCATCTCGGCAGCGTGACTGGCTGTCTTGTACCACCAATGAATACCTGATAGCTGCTCAACAATTAAAATGTAGCAAACACAACGAATCAAGACAACTAAAACAAATTACTACTGAGGCTTATACTCAGGGAAACAAAATATTACAAGGTAACTTACCTTTGCAGCAATGCAGGTGCCTTCAAAAGCTAATTTTGCCAAAGAAAGTACCCGATCACCATGATCAACTAACACCCGACAGTACCAATTAAGGAAGAATCTGCCATAATAGCCATCATAATCACCCCCGTCACAGAAGAAGCCGGTTTCATGTGGCCGGGAATTATAAGAACCTGCATTATCTGGACTTCTGGCCCAAAAGGAGTGTCCTCTTGCTTCTGCTGCCTTCCTCAGACTTCTTAGCAAATACTGATCATAGCACTGGAAGGATTGCATAAGAATGATTACCTCAATACCAAGGTGCTCAGAAAAGAAGATGACGGATGTTTAGACAAATATGACCAGAAAAGGAACCACAAATAACTTCCTAACTGCAATGTCAATATTATTTCCTTCGGATCACAAAGCTCTCAGTCTATAGCACTGACAACAGAAGCATTGGAAATCAAATCATCGAGAAGATATGATATTTTATGGGTAAGTCATCATAAAATTGCCAATGCCAGAATATCTCCAACCATGCCAAGCTTTTGTCAATTTTGTCATAAAATTACCTGGAATTCACCAATGCCAGGATATCTCCAACCATGCTTTACTGGACAAGATGGATACCGCAGTTCTCCACATGGACCTAGTCCAATTTGAATCATGGTGATGATACCGTCTTCAAAGAAGTCATTAAATTCTATCCTAAAGCTCCTCATGTAGTCAAAATATACCTGCATTAGTCTACAAATAATTAGAACCGTATGCTATCCAACTTATAGGTTGGAAAAAAAAAAAAAAAAAGCCGAAGAAGAAGAAGACCTGCATCATATTAGCAGTAATTAGGATATTACACAAACAACTATTCAAAAATGTGAAGAAAGAAGAAATCCCAGAGAACCAAAAACCAGGCACGCCTTTGGCAAGCCAAATTATTCAATATTGATACACGAGAAGGAGAAATAGGAAAAAACTTGCTAAAAAGAGAGGGACCACATTTTCACAACTATGCATCAGCACTGATACCTGATAAAATTGAGCTCGACCTGATCAGGTAGAAAAGAAAGCCCTTTTTATGGTATTTTCATTCTGGCTGAAATGCTTAAAAGAAAAGCATCTAAGAATATGAAGCAACACAATTAAGCTATAAAGGAAGGGATAGACAAATGAATCCATCTCTAGAAAGGTTCATATCATACACTAAACTAGCACTGACTTGAGCAACTATCCTCAGCAACGTAGTTTATTTAGTAATACAGAGGAGGGGAAAAAAAATGCCCAGCACATGCATGCATTTTAATATATAACGATAAAGGAACTATGATTGTCAAAGTATGATCGGTCCACAATTTATCTACAGATTACAAACAAATATGTTAAGCAATGTTAGGTCTAACAGTTATTCATGATTGAATATAATACCTCAACAGCTGTCCGGCCTCTAAGAACTCGTTCCTTGTCTATTCCCCATGAAAGACATTCAGGATTCCTTCTTCCCTCTCTATCAGTGAAAAAGATGTCAGGATTGCTTCGACCTATTTCTGCCACCCAATGTGGCAATGGAATACAAACATCATCACCGACATTGCCTCCACATTCATGAAATGACATTATAACCTGGAATCAGATGTATACGTAAAAGACCTGGAATTTTTTTTTACTTCTTTTGAAACAAGAAACTATATGTTAATGATCAAAATTTAAGTACAGAGGGATGAAGAGTTATCCTCAAAACCTAACAGCGGGGGAGGAAAATAAAAAAAAAATAAATATAAAAAAAAAGCCCCAGCCTAATCTTCAAAAAGAGGGGCCTAGCTCCATACTGATATCAGACAATAGAAAGCTCATAAAGTCTTTATCCTCCCAAAGGGCTACCAATTATTTCACTCTATTCCAAATAACATCACTGACGTTCTCACGGTCATCAATAATCAACGATTCCTATCTGTCCAAATCCCCATATAGATTGCAAAAAACAGCTAGCTCACACAGAATTTCGCTCATAGAGCTAAATTTGTCAACGTTGGTTTCTGTCAGGTTTTATAGAATCGTGAATCATAAGTTTACCATAATCAGTATAATGTATACTGAGTACTGACTATAGAAAATCTGCACACCAGATTCAATTGTTATGGATATTTATAGGTATAGCCAAATAAACTAAACACATTCTCCCCTTTCACCTGATAGCACCAGAATACACATGGGTTTTCTAGTATGCACTCGAGCATACTCGGTACTTAAACTGTTAAACATTGAAATTGCGGTGCTAACTTAGATATCAATTATCTTTATGGTCATCGTGATCCAAAATGACAGAACAAACTAAAGTCAGGATCTATGTCACAAATGACAAAGGCTCCTTATGTTTATCTATTTACCCATGTTTCCGTAGTTGTGTCCCATAAGAGTAAACGACTGACATGTGTCCCTATACCAGCAAATAAATAAACTAATCAGGACAAAGACAATCAGTAGTTCTACTTGACATAAATCCCTTGGTTTGCAGTTGTTAAAGATCCAAAGTCTCAAATATTCATGACAAAGCATTGTATTGGAAAATATCGTGAAAATGGAGACAAGAACAGGGGCGACCATGTTATAAATTATAATACCATAAACATAAAGGACACAAGATAGTAAATAAACTAACCTGTAACTTGAGCTTAAGCTCACGCACCATCTGAAAAAGCCTCTTGTAACCGTTCCAGTTATACTCCTGTGGCACATGTCCCTCCACAATTCCCCACCAACAATCAACAGCAACACCATCCACGTTAACCGATTTCAATACCCTTAGCTGCTTTAGTAGACCGTCTGGATCAACCAGCTCACACTTCATATTAAGGACACCTAACTGCCATCAGAACAGCAAGGCTTGATAAATGAATCAAAGTACACCCTCAAAAATAACTTCATATGGAATCAGCATATGAATTCTTGTCATAAGGTAATCATCTATAGTAGGACAGCTGAGTGAAAATGATTATGTGCAACTCAATAAAGTCCACAGAGATGTGACAAAATAGAAAGGTTAAAAAAAAAATAATAATCTAGCTTTGTAAACGGCAAGTATAAAATAAACACTTACTGGTAACATCACATAAACGGGAACATAGCGGGTGCTAGAAAAATCGCGCTCTGGTAACTTGGGAGGAACGTCAACAACCTATAAACAAAAATAGAAGCATGTTAACGCAAAAGTCAAATGGCTTAGGTTATAATTTCAATCAGTAACATTATATATGAATTTAAAATGAATGCAAGTGAAAATGCATGAACAAAACAAAAGGATAGCATAATTTAATTCATTGCAGGCCTATGTCATATGTTGCTCTCTACACATGATTTGTCTGTAAATATTTTGTTTAGCATGTTCACGATGTCATACGAGCTATGAAAGGTGTAACTCATAATGTAGTTATGTCAAAATAAATGAAATTAACCAACAATATGCCAAAAGAGATTGATACTAAAGTTGCTTATAACCTTCAAACATATCAGTTGTACTACCTGCTTGTCATCGATGGCATTGATAGAGCCACCAATAAGAGGATGACTTTCAGTTTGTTCCCCTCCATCTCCCATCATAGGTGAAGTTTGAGATCGAGCACTTGTGGAAATATCATATGGTGATGAGTTGGGCATATAAACGCCTTTCATTCTGCATTCATTATACTCCACAGAGCTCTGGTAGCCAGAACCAACACCTTTTAAGGAAGCAGGTGGAATTTGTTGTTGCCCCATATGCGAAGATGAAGTGGCCACTGGAGCTCCAGTATGTCTAGAACCCTGTCAAAGAAAAATCCCCATTTTTTTTCCTTTCTTAACCCCGAAATTATTCAGAAGTCAACATCACAAAATGACACTATAGGTGTCCTACATCACTTCATTATGTGGGTCAAGAAAATGCATAATGATCAGTGAAATCCAATAGGTACAATTACGTTGTTCATGCGCTTCACAGTTTCTTGCTTTCCTCTCTCTCCCTCTCACCCCCCACCCACCCAGTACCCACACACACACAGTGTGCTATATGACATAGTACATGCACGAACAAAATGTTGATCAAAGAACAAAACTTCTTCTTTGAGATATAAGTACCTGAGGCTGAGATCTTGAAGGAAAAGTGGTTCCATCTGGAAGTACAACCCAGCCAGCTTCCCTAGCCAAAGCTGCAATTACATCATTGATGTCTGCCCTAACTCTAAGATTATAATTTCCATGCCTCCGTAACCCTGCCAAGATTCTTGCAGTGATAGCTCTTCTGTGCCGCTCCCTTAACTTTGTTCTCTCCTTCTCTTCAAGTGGTCTACATCTACGAGCTCCACCTCCACCAGGGGTGCCCGCTTCCTGTATTTGCTGGTGCTGCTGAAATCGATGATTATTATTGCTGCTGCTCACTGGCATTACTCCATCAATACGTACCATTATCGGAGTGGCAGCCACATGAGATAGCTTCTCTCCGCTTTCGTCGTCATCGTCCTCTTCTTTCACATCCATTTCCATTCCTTCCTCATCATCTTCTTCGCTTGTTCCAATTAGCTTCTGCATATCCGTCGCCATAACCAGCCTTCTTTCTCTTAACCCCACTTATGCTTGCAATTTAATTCTTCTACCATGAAAAACATTATTGGAACTAAATTTCAACACATTACTCCTGAACATTTGTTTTCTTGTACTTTCCATGCATCAATATAATATGCTTCCAATACTGCGTCTATCACATAATTCTCTGCCAAAAATTGTAATCCAGATTAGCTTCATCTAACCAATTAAATTACCTTAAAAACAAAAAGAGAGCTTAACCTCCTTTAATCTTTCACGTAAAAATTTCTGAGGTTCTGCTGGATTCTAATTCAAAATGATTGGAAATTCCCAATTGAATTTATTCTCTCACTAAATAAATGGGAAAAAAATGGTAACAAAAGATTAAACGCAAAACCCAAAGCTTTTATGCACTCACTTTGTTGACATCTGCCACGGTTCCACTATCAATAAAACAAGCAGCTAACACCAAAGTATTGTCCACACTATGACTAAATGACAATTACGGCTTTTTAAATTTTCTACAGAATATTTTCCTCCGAAACAAACAGATTCTAGGCAAAAGTTAGAAAGCGTAAATTACCTTCTTACGCCACATTGACCCAATTTCTCCCGGTTGTCTTCCAAGTTCCCATCTTTTCGTCTCCAATTCAAAGTTCACAGTAAGAATGTGTAGCCGAAAATCCTAATTCCTCGCCCTATCAAATCCTAACTAATCATTTCTGTGGAGTTCTGCGCCGAAGCTTTTCCGGCGACCGGAACGGTGGTCCGGCTTCGTATCAAACGGTCGGAACGGAGCTCCGGAAAACGAGGGCCGGGGAATTCGGCCGTTGCCGGAGATTACGGGTCGGGTCGGACCGGATGGCGACGGGGAAGCGTGCGAGCATGCGAACGAGTTAGGGTTAGGGTTTTCGAGCGTGCGATTCGGGTGATTTGGCACGGACGAGGCGTGCGTGCGTGTATAAGCGAGCGAATTTGGAATTGCAGTAATTTAACGGTCGACACGTGCCAAATGGCTACCGATTAAGGCGTTCGTGTGGGGCACGAGATCGGTATGGACTGTGTCCCAACTTGCAATTTGAGTTAGTGGTATTATTTGAAGTTAGTTTTCTTTTTATATATTTTTTATTTTAGATTGAATGATTAGTTTTATTTATTTATTTATATATTTATTTATTATATTTAACCTGAGTTAAATTCATTTAAATTTTAATTGAGTGAGTTGATTTTAAACTTTAAGTTGATTGAGTGATTAAATTTGAAATTAAGTCACCCAAATTTTATCGGATGGGTTGAAAATCTTAAAAATCCACTCTATGTTCACCCCTATCAAGAGCTACAAATTTGAGTCTGCAGGTCAGCGTCCCACTCTTTGACGGAGAATGTAGTAAATAACATATTTATGAAACTAAATGAAGTAAAAATTATTTGAAATAAATAGCAGTTTACACGGTAAATGAATCATTTACTGCGTAAATAGTTCATTTACGACAAGTAAAAATATTTTTTACGTAAATTTTTTTTTTATGATTAGTAAAAAGATTTTTTTCACGTAAATAAAAATTTTTTTAGATTATTTACCATAGGTGCATAAATATGTACTTTTATACGTCTTATTATTGAATAGATTTTAAAATATTTAAGCTTGAATTATACATTTCCATGATTTTTATTTAAAATATTTTAATTAGCAATTAATGTTGTCAAATGGGCCGGGCCGTCCATGGACAGCCCGTAACAGTGTCAGATTCAGCACAGCCTGATACGGTACTATTACGGGCCGTGCCAGCCTGGCACGTTTGATAGGCTAGGGTTGGGCCTTAGCTTTTCAGTCCGCGGCCCAAGCTCAACCCTAGCTCGTGAAGGCCCGCGGCTCGACCTAAGCCCAGTTCGGCCCAAGCTGAGATTCGGCCCTTGTTCGGCCCGGTCCAGCGCACGAAACATCCTAAAGCTCGTTTGGATTGTACCATTGGGCCCTTCGCGGGCCCAACAGTCGGGCCTGTTACGGAGTGTATGGGACTAAATTTTTTATGATTGCTACATCAGAAAATTTAGGTTTTGATATGCAACTAACTATTACTGACACTAGGAAAATGTTAGAAAATGTATTTAGTTTGTGTGAAGCAAAATACAACACAAGTAAAAAAGAACAGGGAACTTCGACGTCAACTAGCAGTTCAGGGCCTAAAGGATCATCATGGAGTTTCTTGAAGAAGAAAGAAAAAACGGCAGGATCGTCATCAACACAAGTGTCTACCGAACTGGTAAAATATTTTGAAATAAATTTTGTAATTGATGACGACAAACTAGACATCTTACAGTGGTGAAGAGCAAGACCGATCGTTTTCTAACACTGTCCGTAATAGCTCGTGACATTCTGACAACTTCAGTGTCAACAGTAGCATCGGAGCAAGCATTTAGTGCAAGCAATCGAATTCTTGACGAAAAGAGAAGCAGAATGCATCCAGATATCTTAGAGGGGCTAATGTGCGTTAATGACTGGGAAAATGCCAGCAGACGAAAACAACAATACACGGATGATTCAATGCAAGACTATTTTTCTAACTTAGAAATAACAAAATCTTCTAGAAGCACTTAGGTTTGTAATTTACTATTCCTACTGCACTCTTTTTTCCTTCGCTAAGGTTTTGTCCCGATCTCCCTACGGGTTTTACTTAGTAAGGTTTTTAACGAGGTAGTCATTTATGTGTACTTATTCGTATTATATCAATTCAATAAAATCACATCTTTTGGGGGCATGTGATATATTTTCTTTTTTATAATTAAATTTAGGAAAAAAAATTACAAAGGCCAAGGCCAGCCCGTGAAGGGCCTAGGCCTAGGCCCGACCCTGGCCCTTATGGACTAGGGCCGCGGGCCTGAGATTTTTTCCTCAGGTCCGGCCCTGCACTGTTGGCACGGCCCAGGCCCGCCACGAGCCTAGGGTCAAACGTGCCGTGCTGGCTCGGCACGACACGTTTGACATCTCTAGAAATTATCTATTTTTGCTTAATTATTTGCATATTGAAAAGCAGTGTAAAGAAGCCAACCAAGCTACCCAATCTAGTCACACCACGTGACAAATTTGTGTGCTGAGGACTTCTCACTCTGGATTTCAATAGCAAATTAATGCCTAAATCTCCCAAATATGCTCTAATCATCAATCAGCCAATTTGCTTCCTCAAATCAAATATGTGATTTCTCTTAATTAATTGTAATTTTATTTTGTTTCCATTTTCTATGTACTTTCCATTTTCTATGTACTTTCCATTTTCTTTGATTTCTTTCTCATTTTGTTGGCAACCCCTACACACTATAAATAGAGAGGTTAGCATAAGCTTTGGGGATCATTCTCTGTCTCATATTTTCATCTCATTGTCGTTCTCATATTTTCTCTCAAAAACTTGTGAGAATGTCGTGCAAACTAGGCTAGAGTGTTTTTGGTGAGGTTAGATATGAACTTATGTTGAGTCACTCAATTTAATTTTGATTCCTATGTGCTGTAACGGTTTAATATTTGAGTGAATTAAATCTCTTATTCTCTTTTATTTAATTCAAAATATTGTGTGCCATTTTTATATAAGTTCAGCCATGCTTTTCTCATGTAATTTTTGTCACGCGATGTTTTGTGTTTTGAATTATTTTACAAGTTGTCTTAACTGCAATATTATCAACTTGATATATTGTCAATTTTAGATAACTTGTAATAATAATCTCTATAGTTTTAACTTAAGGATATAACTTACTCGATACTTTTATTTTGTGAATATCAAAACTTGAATTGGTGAGCGTAATATAAGAGATTCTCGACACCTCACCATTTTAGTTATTGACTTTTCTTCGCAAACAATTTCCTCTTTTTTTTAATTTATTTGCACAAAAATCACAAAACACTCTCGATATTAAATTTATTTTGTTAGTTTATTTTTCTCTAATGTTCTTATTCTGCTAATTGTTCTTGTTTACTTTTACCACCTCTCTGTAGATATGATCGCCCTTCTGTCCTACAATTAACCGCTTGTGATCGACACTTTTGGGTGTTAAACAACCACGTAAATTATTTTTTCCACGTAAATTATTCATTTACAAGTTGAAAAAATATTTACAGGGTAAATGATTTATTTACCACGCAAACTGCTATTTATCTCAAATAAATTTAAAATATGCTATTTACTTCATTTAGTTTCCAAAATCTGCTATTTACTAAAATTTCCCCTCTTTGACACGGTCCCGACATGCTTAAATATTCGGACTGGGTCGACAAAATGTTTAGGCCTAAAATGCATTCAAACTAGGCGAATATGTGCTCGATTATTATTTAGAAAAACAAACAAGAGAGAGAGAGAGAGAATGAGAGAGAGAGAGAGAGAACTTACACCTTTATTAGTACCATCTTGTACTCTATCTATCCCAAAGCATGCATTTCGGACCAGGCTAGATTAGGCCGGCGATCCAAACTTACACATATATTTATACCTTCAGTTATTTCAAAACATCTCGAAGGTACTTTGTCTTTTTAAAATGTTAAAGTACATTTTTAATCTTTAACTTTTGAGATACAAAAAAAGTTAAAAGATTTTCCCTCCTTTTGATATGTGGCACTACAAGGAGAATTCTCCTTTTTAACACATGGGCATATTTTTTTAGAGGTGTTCATCGAATCTGTCAAATTGATTAATTTGCATAATCCAATCTATGAATTGGATTGCGGATTGAGCATTTGCTCAATCTGAATAATCCGCCAATCCGAACTGTATATATAATATATATTTTTTTATACGTGTTTTTTGATTATATAATACATATATATATATAAAGTAATATATGTAATTATATATAGAATCTCAATACTATTTTAATTTTATGTATGTTTGTGTTTAATTTTGCTACTAATTTTATGAGAGTATTGGAAAAAGAGATCGACTACAAAAGTAGATCTAAAACGTTGGCTAGTCTGCGAATCTGCATAATTCATTCTGCAGCGGATTGAATTAGATTGGGGTTTAACAGATTGGTAATAGATCGAGACTTTTCCAATCTATAGTAACATATTGAATTGCAGATTGATTCCTATTCCACACAATCCGATCTGTGAACACCCCTTAACTTTTTTTTTGTTTTATTTTTCCCTATAAGTTCTTTTTCCAAAGTTTCTATACTATTTAATTTTGTTTACGATGTGTTTTTTTTTTTGAAATATTTTTTTCCTTGCTTTCCACTTAATAAAATAATTTGTTAAATATATCGTTATTTTTTCTTTTTTGTTAAAGGCCATTATGAAGTTTAATCTCTTTTTATGTATTTCTCGAAACACTTTTTCTTATTGCTATATTGCTATATTTACATATGTTTTTTTCTCAGTCGTACTCTTAATTTATTTTATAAATAAAACTACTCTAATTTATCTCCGTTTAAATAACTTCTCACATATGAGCCTATTTAATATTCTTTTTTTTAAATGTGGCCCTCATAAAAAATATTTTTTTTTTCTAATTGCTTTATTAATTCATTTATTCTCAAATGTGTCTCTACATAAATATTTTTTTTCCTTATGACCCTCTTAAATACTATTTTTTTATATATACCCCATAAATAGTTTACTCTCTAATTTGTACGATAAAAACTTTGGCCGTGTTTGAAGTTAGTTTTGTTTTTGTTTTCACATTTTTTGAGAAAAAAAAATAAAAATAAAAGAGAAACGACGTTTGACACAATTAAAGATAAAAAATAGAAATGAAAACGATTTTTTGATTTAGTGTAAAATGGGAGAGAAATGAAAAATGACTTTTAGTCGTTTTTCATTTTTTATTTCCGTTTTCTTCTCTCTCGAGCACATAGAGAGACATTAATGAATTTTTTTTTATATTGAAAACAATCTCTTAATAAAACTACCAACGCATTTTCAAAAATAATTT